GAGAACCAAGCGAAGATTGGTGTGCGGCTTGGAAAGGTGAAGAGTACCCGGCTTGGAGCATGTGGAGCTGCCCTTGGAGCTGAGTAGCAGCAGCACAATCACGAGGCAATCTCCCCAAATGAATGGGGATGAGGAGGAGGAGGAGGTGCAGCAAGGTGATGAGCGTGCCCCGCCACTTCCGCCTCGTGCTACAAGTGCTCGCGGGAACCGACCGGATTTACCGCAACCCCATGAGAGCATCCAATTCCGTGCAGCAGAGGAGGAAGGAAGGGGGAGAAGGAGGACTCAGCCCCCCAATAGGTTGAGCTATGACCGGCTTGGAGGACCAGCCAACTCAACCTTGACCGGTTCGGCTCTCATGCTAGGCAATGATGCGGAAGATGAAAGCGAGGAGTGCGCTTTTGCCTTCTTCTCTCCGGTGGAGATACCGGGGGAGCCTACAAATCCCAAGGAGGCTTGGGAGGGCTGCAATGGGAAGGAGTGGAAGAAGACCTCAGATGAAAAAATGGGGAGCATCATAGAGAACGACACATTTGACTTGGTGAATCTACCTCCGGGACGGAAGGCGATCTCTTCCAAGTGGCTCTTCAAGCGCAAGACCGACGCCGACGGCAACATCGAGCGCTACAAGAGCAGACTTGTAGCCAAGGGGTATCAGCAGCAAGAGAAGAAGGACTACAATGAAGTGTATGCCCCTGTGGTGAAGGGTACTACCCGTCGAACCCTCTTCATCGCGGCGGCTATCAAAGGATGGGTGGTGAAGCAAATGGACATTGTAACGGCCTTCCTTAACGGCGTTTTGGAGGAAGAGACCTTCATGGAGCAGCCAGAGGGGTACAATGATGGGAGTGGCAGAGTGTGGAAGCTGAAGAAAGCACTCTATGGCCTCAAGCAAGCCCCTAGGCAATGGTACATCAAGCTGCGGGAAGTCTTGGAGGCGATCGGCTTCACTCCCTCAACGGCCGATCAATCCTAGTTCATGCTTGGCGAGGGGGAGCAGAGGAGCTTCATGGTGGTTTATGTGGATGTCATCCTCATATTCTCACCCTCCTCTGACCTTGTGAAGGAGGTGATGCTGAAGCTTCAAGACAAGTTCAAGTGTAAGACCCTTGGTGACGTCAACTACTACCTTGGGCTTCACATTGAGCGAGATGTGGAGAAGCGGTGGATGCGAGTGCATCAAAAGAAGTACTTGGAGGCCTTGGCTGCAAACTTTGGGAAGAGTGAAGGTCATGTGGCTACTCCTCTTCCCTCAGGGTTCAAGTGTGTGAAAGGACCAGTGGAGGAAAGTGTTGGTGAAGAGGAGATGCGCCGTTTTCACTCCTTGGTGGGCAGCCTCATGTATGCGGCCGTTCACACAAGGCCGGATGCAGCCTTTGCTACCGGGCAGCTAGCTAGGGTTGTCCAATGCCCTAATGAGGAGCAGGTAGCAGCTGGAGAGAGGGTGGCCAAGTACCTTGGCCAAACAACAACTGTTGGACTGCAATACTCCGCGGCGGCACAAAGGCGTCAAAAGGGTGCGGATGGAGTCGAACCCGGGAGGCTCTTTCTCACCGCCTTCTCTGATGCATCTTGGGCATCAGAACCAGAGGATATGACAAGTCTGGGAGGTTTCATGTGCTGTGTTGGTGGAGGACCAACAGCTTGGGAGCGCAAGAAACAAGTGGACCAAGCATTGAGCTCGGTGGAGTCCGAGTACATGGCACTCTTCCGTGCCATAAGGGAGGTTGTGTGGCACGGGCGTTTGCTAGCTGAATTGGGGGAGGAGCAGCAAGGACCTACCCCACTCTATTGTGATAGCCAGGGTGCTATTGCATTGGCTAAGAACTGTTATAATCACAATAGGCTCAGATGTGCCTAAAATGAGAGACAGAGAGCACAGTCGGATTTCCGTCAGACGGCTTCAAATATTGATAATGATCTGGTCGCTTCCTCAAACGGTGATCTGTAAGTTGGATATGGAGCGCGATGCTGTCACCTATTAGCAGCAAGTTGAATCATGAAATGCCATGAAGATTTGACGATGCTATGGCGGTTTGACTGGCAGGAGGTACAGTAGCCACTATAGTCTTAGGAGTACAAAAACTTAGGAAGAAGAATTCGAGAGGGAGATGGTTCCCAGCCTCTACATACCCCAAGAGCCGAGGTCTAGGTTGGTGGTACACCACCACAGAGTCCCCAACCACGAAGAGTCTTGAAACCAACCCTCCAAGGGGCTACACCAAGTGAAATGTAACACTACACGAAGTAGCGTTACTATTTTCACTATTTTATATTTATCCGCGTCCCTTGGTCTTGAAATTTTGAGCTCTTGTTCTTGGATCTGCAAGATAAATTCTTCTTGAGTTGATGGCGGCTTGCTGCATACACGTGTGACACGATGGACACTTCACACTCGACAAAATAGAAAAAACACATGCGACACACAAACGACGACTTGACATGCGAGTCGTAAAAACTCGCTAATGTCTTGACCGACACAAACCACATTGTGATACACCATTCAAACACACACACAAGCCCTGGATAGCAATAACATAGACTCACAATTCATTCCATGCCATGCATGCACACACAAAAACAAGGACGACAAGCCGAGTGCAAGCCATTGGGTTGCACCAACAAGAACCCGGTTCTTCATGGCCTTAGCAAGCACATGAAGGTGAAGTGGCATTGGGTGAGGAGCATGGTAACCGCGGGCGAAGTGGAGTTGCACTACGTGAAGACGACGGCATAGCCTGCTGATATGATGACCAAGAGGCTGGTTGAGCAGCAGCATTGGAAGTGTTGCAAGCTTACTGGGATGGCTCTGAACTAAGAGGAGCAGATTCTAAGGCCAACAATCCGAGGGGGAGTTTGTTGGTGCAACCCTATGGCTTGCACTCGGCTTGTCGTCCTTGTTTATGTGTGTGCATGCATGGCATGGAATGAATTGTGAGTCTATGTCATTGCTATCTAGTGCTTGTGTGTGTGTTTGGATGGTGTATCACAATGTGGTTTGTGTCGGTCAAGACATTAGCGAGTTTTTACGACTCGCATGTCAAGTCGTCGTTTGCGTGTCGCATGTGTTTTTTCTATTTTGTTGAGTGTGAAGTGTCCATCGCATCGCGGGTGTGTGCAGCAAGCCCCCATCAACTCAAGAAGAATTTATCTTGCAAAACCAAGACCAAGAGCTCAAGATTTCAAGCCCAAGGGACACGGATAAATATTAAATAGTGAAAATAGTAACGTTACTTCGTGTAGTGTTACATTGCACTTGGTGTAGCCCCTTGGAGGGTTTGTTTCGAGACTCTTCATGGTTGGGGACTCTGTGGTGGTGTACCACCAACCTGGACCTCGGCTCTTGGGGTATGTAGAGGCTGGGAACCATCTCCATCTCCAATTCTTCTTCCTAAGTTTTTGTACTCCTAAGACTATAGTGGCTGCTGTACCTCCTGCCAGTCAAACCGCCATAGCGTCGTCGAATCTTCATGGAATTCTATGTTTCAACCTGCTGCTGATAGGTGACAGCAACGCGCTCCAGATCCAATTTATAGATCACCGTTTGAGGCACACATCAGATCAGCATCAACATTTGAAGCGGTCTGACGGAATTCTGACTGTGCACAATTTCTCTCATTTTAGGCACATCTGAGCCTATTGTGCTTATAACAGTCCCCACCTTTTGCGGAGCCTCAACCAGCGTTGACCTGACTCGTTTTTCTAATCTGGGACCTGAGCTTTAAGAATAGAAAAGTGTTGGCAGCTGCAGCAGCTGCTAGATTCCTTGAGCTGGCTATCTTCTCTGGAGCACTTGGAAATCCACCATTGTCCGAGGCCCACAGCGCTACCACATGGCATGGGTAACGGGCTGTACAGTCTGCGCCACTTGCTGCTGCTCCACTGCAAGCCCTCACCCATCTCCCCCCCTCGTTCTCTGGACTGACATCTCTCGAAACCCTAAGGGTTTGGAACGCGCAATGCTGTAGAAGCGGCCTGCCGGACTCGTTTGGCTGCTGTAGACGCTTAAGGGAGCTGTCTGTCCGTGTCATGTTACATTTATCCGCCATTCTTGCCTCCATCTTTGGCCTTCTCTCACTCTAGTCTGGAAGTAGCAAACTGCCCGAGAATACAAGACCTGCCCGAGGAGATCGGACGGCTGGAGGCGCTCGAGGAGGTCAAGTTCTCACAGATGAATGACCTGAAATCTCTCCCTCAGCTGCTGCTTGAGCTGCCCCGACTGCGGGTACTGGAGGTGCGAGTGTGTAAGGGGCTCACTGCTTTGCTAGGGGATGAAAAGGTGGGAAAACGGACTGCCGGCAGTGGTTTGGGCGGCAGCATCAGTAGCGACAGCGGTAGCAGCGGCGGTAGCACCGCCAGCTGTCCTAATAATAGCATGAGCAGCACACTGCTTCCATCTCTACAGTGTCTCAAGATCAAAGATCTTTCTTTCGAGTCCTTTGGCCCGTCCTTTGGCCACCTGCCCTCTCTAATGAAACTGAAGCTTCTTGACATGAGCTTTCTTGAAACGCTTCCGGATTCCATGTCCGAACTCTTGCAGCTGCAAAGGCTACGGATTTCGTATGCCTGGGAGCTGAAAGTACTGCCAGAGACCCTGGGAGGTCTGCCAGGGCTTCGTTCTCTTGAGCTGGTTGGCCTTATGAATTTGCGTGAGCTGCCCAATTCGTTTCTAGAAACGCTCTAAATCATCGATTGCTTCTGGCTGATGCGACTTCCAGAGTTGTTTTCAAATCTGCCCAAGCTGCAATCGTGCACTCTCGTCAAACTCGGCCTTCCGTCCATCCCAGACAATTTATGGAAGCTGATTCTCTCTAGGAATCTGCAGAGATTGCTGGATTCTTTCACCCAACTGCCTCGCCTGCGAGTGCTGGAGGTGAACGCACGCAATCGGCTTGCTCAGTTGTCATCCTTCCTCGGTGAAATGGCGGCGCTGTGCTGATGCGACATCTGTGAATGCAGCTTGCTTTCATGACGAGACCCGCGGGTGATTCCTGGACAGCGGGGCGTGGTGAATGGTGAGGAGGGAAGGAGAGAGGGGGAGGGGGAGGGGGAGGGGGAGGGGGAGGGGAATGAAGAGGGGCAAGAAGCGGGAGAGGGGGAGGGAGAGGGGGAGGGGAAGGGGGAGGAAGAGGGGGAGGAAAGAGAGGAGGGGGGGGAAGAGGAAGATGAGGAGGAAGAGGATGAGGAGGAGGACGAGGAGGAGGATGATGACATTGAGCACGTGTATGGCATGGAGAGTGACGATGACAGGGACGACGAGTAACACAGGGCGTAGAGCGAGGATAAGGAGGACTGAGATGATGGTGACTTGTGATGGGGAATGAAGAGTAAGAGGACGCTGAGCATGAGTATGGCATGGAGAGCGAAGACGACAGGGACGATGAGCGAGGATGAGGAGGACCGAGATGATTAAATTGGTGAGGGCGAGGAAGAGGAGGGTGTGGGAGAGGCGGAGGAGGGGTAGAGGTGGAGGAGGGGTAGAGGCGGAGGAGGGGGAGGAAGAAGAAGAGATGAAGATGAAGGAGAGGGGTATCTGGAGGTGGGGGAGGAAGAAGATGGAGAGTAAGGGGACACTGCAAACGCGTATGGCATGGAGAGAGAAGACGCTCACATTATCCCTCCCTTCTGTCCCCTATTTGGCTCCACGTGGTGCTGTTAAGCCCCGTGAGATTTACAGAGGTAGCAGATTCCGGAGAAGCAACACCTAAGGATAGATCCTAAATCACCAACTGCACACTGATTGCACAGAATATTATGCTCCAACTGGTTTCGAACCACATGAGGTTACAAGGCGTTTCTGCGAAGTTGCCAATAACCCTGGAGTAGTGTAGCATGAAAAATGTATTATAGGCGCATCACATTTGTTATTGCCCACATTTTTGAAAATGTATTTCCTATAGGCGCATCACTTTTGTTTTATAAACTTATGTTAAACGAGGAATTTATATATCGTAGTTTCTGCCGTGCCTTTTCCGAGCGCCTCCCGAATCAGAAGCGCACGTCTCGTTCACTGTGTTGACTCTAATAGGCTTGCGATTTTAGTCATTCCCGGGTGGATCTGCTGGCGGAAGCTTTGTCAGCTAACTTCTCGCGTTTTGTCAACATGCTGCCCTTTGGAAAGACACGCGCTAGAATGCAAAATTTGAGAACTACATTTTCACGTGCTCAAATATTTTTTCCATAAAAATCCTTTCATAAGCCCTGGGCTTATAAAATTTATTCGATTACAAGCGCATGCCACATTTGTTATGTATTTCCTAGAAGCCCTTATGCGCATATATCCGGGGGATTATGGTATGTGGAGGCACAAAAGCAGGTGCATACAAGGTATTGTCATAAAGTCACCAGTCCTAACTGCTGGGATACGAAGGGTTGTCATCAAGAGGGTTAGGCTCCATATATCCACCTTCTCCGAGGAAAGCCTCCCCAGTACCCTCCCTAGAGAGAGAGAGAGGATCGACAGGGTTATCCCAGTGCCACGACACACCCCCCAGCTGGGATAGCGTGTACACCAGGAATTGAGCCCCGGATGGCTCTGATGTCATAAAGTCACCAGTCCTAACCACCGGGACAAGGGATGTCATCTGGAGGGTTAGGCTCCATATATCCACCTTCCCCGAGGAAAGCCTCCCCAGTACCCTCCCTATAGAGAGAGAGAGAGGATCAGCAGGGTTATCCTAGTGCCACGATAGGTATTTCACACGGTGCCCTCTGTCCTATATCCTGCTCCAAGTGGTGCCCAGCCACATGAGCTTAACCGGCGCTTCAGGAGAGCAGTTATCATGAGGCATAAACGCAAACCCTGCCAGGTGCATGGTGTAGAGCAAAGCCCTTCGGGAGAAGCCAGAATTGGGGATGACGAAGAAGTGGGAGGAGGCCAATAGCAGCCACTCCACTATGAGCTCTTGGAAGGGAGCATCTGCATTAGAGGATGGGGACTGCCTGGTGTGCGCAGCACCCATGCTGTTGGCGTGGCGGGGAGTGAAGTCGGTGGTCACCATCTGTGGTGTGGAGGAGCGTAGGACGAGAGTAGAATGAGAGAAAAGGGGAGGTGAGAGAGGAGAGGCAAGACCGCATCTGCACAGAGTGCAGGGAGAAGCCAGAGTTGGGATGGCCAACAAGTGGGAGGAGGCTAGCAGCAGCCACTCTGGTCGTGGAGGGGTGCCTTAGCAGTGGAGGATTGCGACTGTGTGGTGGTCCTGCATCGGAGTCTATTTTTGAGGCGCTCAAAATAGATTCCAACTGTTGTTGGTTTTGCTGGCATGGCGTGGCGTGGCGTGGCGTGGCATGGCGTGGCGTGGCGTGGCGTGGTGTGGCGTGGAGTGACATAGCGTAGCGTGGCGTGGCATAGAGTGAAATCAGAACCTGCGTGGCTGGCATGGCGGCCAGCACCTGTGGGTGAAGAAGGGCAATCGGACAGAGCACAGAACTGGACATTCTCGCAGTGAGCGCAGTGCAAGACCCTCATTTTTCCTACTTGCTAAACCGTCATCTTGCACTGCGCTTACTGGGAGAATGTCCGGAAATCAGGCCCCCACCTGTGGGTGACGAAGGGTGAGCGAATTAGTGGGTGGCCACTGATTCATTCAGCATCTGCTAAGTGAACAGAGTAGGGAGAATGAGGAGCAATGGACAAGGGGAAATTGGTTGTTGGCGAGACGAGGAGTCCGTGGTCACCACCTTTGGGTGAAGGAGGAGGTGCCGGGTGGTGGGGTGACACACTGGTGGATGGGGTTGCATGGTGGTGCCAGTACCAGTGAAGGAACGCTAGGGTGGGTGGGGGTGCCACGGGGATCAGTGGGTGGGTGCTAAGTGAATGCTTTGTCTGGCACCGCTGCCTAATAAGGGTATTTTGCGTGAATGTCTCACCTTGTCTGGTTATTTCTGACGAATGGCATGCTTGACTTGCATGGAGTTGCAGAGCAGCAGCCACTTGACGGAGAGGGTAGAGGGCACGTACCACCGCTGCACTCGCTGCATGTGGGGGCGAGGGGGGTTAGAGAGCAAGGGAGGGAAGGCGGTTAGAGTGGGGGAGCAAAAACAGGAGCGCTAGAGAGATTTTATAGCAGCAGGCCCAATTCATGCAGCAGCCACTTGAAGGAGAGGGTAGAGGGCATGCACCAAGCTTGCACTCGCTGTGTGTGTAGGGGAGGGGGAGACGGAGAGAGAGTGGGGGGAGGGAGAAAGGTCGAGTTTCAGCCCCCTCTGCTCGGTGTGTGTGCGGGGAGGAGGGATACAGTGAGAGAAAGAGTGGTAAGGGCTATGTTGGAAAAAAACGTGTTTCGCATTTAGTACGCTAGCGTATATACGCAAAACGCTTGGGGTAAGGGGGTCTGGTATGCAGGAAATATGGTGGCCCGGGCAGCTGAAAATCTTTCCTGGGCAGGTGGAAATTTGGGGTAAGAGGTGGGAATTGGGGGCGGTACAAAGCACCCCAGTTCCCCATCCCCATTTTATAGATAGAAAAATTTCATACATCATAATACCCGCCGCATATTACTACTAACCTCCCCACTACTCTAACCTCCTATGCACCCCCCTTCAACTACACCTCCCCCTGCAGCCCCCTTCCACTACTCCCACCCCCCTTTGCAGCCCCCCTCTACTACTCCACTCCATTCCCCACCCCCCTCCTCCCGCAGGTCCGTCAGCTCAACTCGTACTCATCGGCAAGCACAGCATCCTCCCCCTCCTCTTTGTCCTCCTCCTGCTGCTCGGTGTACCCCTTCAGAATGGGGGGCTCCTCGATATTCCCGCTGACCACCCCCTGCCCCTCCATGACCGAGTGCCAATTGTGCACAACTTTCCAATTGTGCGCAACGTACACGAGGTCGCTGAGTTTCTCCGACCCCAAGCAGTTGTGCTTGGCCGTGTGGACCGACTCCCATACGGCCTAGTTGCGCTCGCATGCTTTCGCCGACGCGGGCTGTGTAAGGACACGGCACGCAAGCGTGGCGAGCTTGGGAAAGTCCGTGCCATGCCAGGACCACTACTGCAAGAAACTCTACCTCCCCTCCTTCACAGCCTCACGGTCCGCAATGGCAGCGGGGAGGCCGAAGCTCCCTTGTAGGTTCAGGAAGGCCGTGAGGCCTTCCTGAAGCACTAGGGAGGCACGGCGCTCCTCACCATCCCTGCGGGTGATGGTGAGGTGGTCGTAGTGGCGGGTGATGTACGCCTTGAAGACGCGGGTGCACTCGATGTCGGTGCGGAAAATGCCCTCCTCTTGGTTAGTCGGATTAAGGATCCGGCCAACCACGTGCATGGGGTAGGCGAGCCCCCCATCCCACCGATTCTTCACAATTTTATTCACCTCCGCCACCTCTCCCCTTGTGAGCTTCCCCTCCGCATGGTCGTCGAGGAAATCCGAGACGTCCTTGGTGAGCTGGAGCATGGTGTCGTACATGCGGCCCATCATGCCCTTTGCCGTGGCATCGGTAGCCCGCATGACGATGAAGGGGAACTCCAGCAGCTTGGTGAAAACTCTGCCAGCTGCCACCACAAGGCATCCATCACTTGCGCCTTGAACGTCTCACCACCCACCTTCCTCCCCTCCACCGCCCACCCTCTCCACTCCTCACTCAGGACCATCTGAACAAGGCTGAGCCGAACGTCGCACAGTCGGGACACTGCGATGTACTGTCTCCCGAACCGCGTGCCGGCTGGCTTGAGGACCTGCCGCCCACCGTTTCCACCACGTCTTTCGTCCATGCCATCTTCCCAATGTCTTCCATGAGGAGGTCGAGAACGTGGGCGGCGCAAGGGACGGTCTCGATGTGGGGGAATTCTGCCACAAGCTCTCGGCATGCCGCGGCATAGTTTGAGCCGCCGTCCATGCAAAGGGCGATGATGTTCTCAGGCCCGACCTTCCTCAGGTTCGGGCAGAGGAGGCTCGCGATGTAGCTTCTCGTCTTCGATTCCATTCTCGTGTCGATAGACTCGGTGAAAACGGCTCCCGGGTCGTTGATGAGCAGAATATTTGCTTCAGGGCGTCCGCACCCGTCGGTCATCATGTCCGACGTGATGGTGACCCCGTCGCGGAGTGAGCTTGCCGCGATCGGCACCAAGGCAGCCTCGATGTGCTTGCGGCAATTCTGCAAGCCCGCCCCTCCAATGAACTTGCGCTTCGGAGGAACGTACGACGCGCCCGCGTGAGCGATGCAGTTGACGGCGTTCCTCCAAAGAGGGTGGTCCGCGTGATGTTCAGGAAGTCGAAGGCTGGCAAAGAGCAGGCAAAGCGATTCGCCTGCTGCCACCTTCGCGCAAGTCCCTTCGTCGCCGAAGAAGTCGGTGATGCGGGACCTCT